CTTGGTGACTGGGGTGACCAGCCAGTACTCTACCAGGGAGATGCTAGATGAGGTACGTAAGACTCTGTGTGTCCACCTGGACTTCCATTACTTTCACTAGAAACTATGGTATGTTAACCTACTCACCTGCTTATAGGGCTAGAATGCAAGAAGATCTTAAGGATGTACAGATATTTGTCCAATTAGCAGAAAATGACAAAAAAAAAAACCTCACCATAGTGTCCACTGTATGATCATTATCAGTTTGTACATTTGTGCACTGCAAAAAAATAGAATTCCTTATTACATGGATACATGTAATTGTTGGATCTTATGTCAACAAATGTGTGGATTGAAGCCTCCCTCCTCTGCATGTTCTCAGGTACGAAGCTTCTTCGGCTCCCTGACGGAGGAGACGGGCTCCGAGATGAGGTGCATCCAGCAGGCCTACGAGACCATCGAGGATAACATCCGATGGATGGACAAAAACCTTCCTCTGCTGCAGGCCTGGCTGGACAAACGCACCCACAGAGTGTCTCATGAGGATTTATAACTGCAGGGAAAACAGAATGTCTATCGTGGATGATTATGCTGCTCCAGGCAGAAACAGAGGTGTGGTCCTGCATCACAAATGAGACGACCTGATGCTCCATGACAACAATCAGACATGTCAAACACGCAGCTTAATGTTAAAGGCAATGACAGATTTTGCATTTAGAATTACTTGGCATCCTCCTCAAATTCAAACATTAAAAAAAACATTGTAAATATCCTCAGTCTGTGAAAAATATCCTGAAGGAAGTCTTTAATGAACCCCCACATGTGAGAGGTTTAAAGATGTGACATAATCGGGCACATTGTGGGGTTTCCTGGTTGTTGTGATTCTGAAAACTTAAAAAATATTTAGCTCATTCTTTGGAATGACCAGCAAGAGGAGAAGAGAGGAATTATTTCCCAATGAAAACACTCAGAGCAGAACAGTCGATGTGATAGATGAATATATTTCTGCTCAGAGTTGTCTCTGAGTGTCTGTACATGTTTGTAGGTGTGTTTATGAAACTCTGTGTTTATGTGTGCAGTGAGGTTTTTTTTGTGTGTTAAATGTGTGAATTCTCTGTGAACTATGTTATGATTTATGCTGCGCCATCACTGTAGAAAGCAACAACATACAGACTGTACAGGGTTGTACAATCAGTAAATGAACTGTGCATCTGATAGAATTTGTAATTTTTAAATGTTTTGGTACCAGAGCTCTCCTCATCCAGCAAAACAAGAAAAACCCAGTGGGCTCTACAGCTGCTACACCTGACTTTATTCTCTAACACCAGCATGAAGCAGGAAGGAGTTACCCTCATGCACCTGTTGGATTTATACACAGTTAAAGTGTTGTTGAACCATATTTGACTTGAGTACGTGTTGAACCCAGCGTCATCCTGCTGCATCACTTCATCATTTTCCACTTTTTGATTGAGTTTCATTATTCATACATAACATAACAGAACATGGAGGGATGTCTGGAATGAGCTGCTCCACCTGCTGCCTCCACGACAGACAAGCGGAAGAAAATGGATGGATGGAAATTGATAATCTCACAAAAAAGATAAAGCACTACAAGAAACACGTTTCAAAAAGGGTTTGAATTATTCGACTCAGCGGTGTCTATTTTTATACCACTGTTATATCATTTGTTAATCCAGAAGGAGAGCAGTTCTTGGTTGAACTAAATATTAGACCAATAAAGTTAATTTGACCTCATTTGACTTGTATTCCTGTAACTTCATGTAACTATTAACTGTTAGTAATCAGCAATTAGTTTGTGGGTGGAACCTTTCTATCTTTTTACTCCTCTGATAAGCCGATCGATCGCTTTTCCAGTAAGAGAGTTTCAATTTAATGCTTTGTTGTGTCATTTCACAATTATTTTATTAGATTTTTCAATTATATACAAGCATGTTTTTATACACAGAATAAGACAACTGACCAAACAACTCACCTCCACTTGTCATTAAAGTACAGCTCTGTTTTGAAAAAAAAAAGCTCATAATGTTGTCTCAACCTGGCTTTGTGCCCTGTTGGCTTTTATGGAAAGCCTGTCTGGGAAATACGGTTGGTGTAAAACAATGGGCATTAAATTGTGGAAATTCCACAATAAATGCCTGGAATACCATTTAAACCTGATCAACAAGGCACTTGTGGAAACAATGGATGATGTGAAATTCACACAAATGTTTTTCTAAAACTGTATTGTTTCTCAAGCAAGCTGATGATTTGAAAAGTGATTTTCTGGTCATGAAAGAACCGACATATTTAACAACTGAATGGATTACATGGATCCATTAAACTGAATTTATGGCTGGACGCTATTCTTCTGCCAATTTAGGGATGTGTAATCACTGAAAACAAGCGAGCTTGGTGTGATGGAAACTGTTCTTTATTGCATTCATAGTTAATGAGTTTATTGACTTAAATCCAGCACAACAAACATGAATGCACATCACAGTTTTTAGCATGCAAATAAAAATACTGAACAAAGGGGTCACATTCTGATGTTTTCAGAATGAAAGACGGATTTTCTGTGACTATAAATAATGAATCTTGTGAATCTAACTTCAGCACAGCAGTGCCACAAAAACACAATCTCTGTTAAAGCTGGTGCACTCTATTAAATTTGCAGTGAATTCTTCTGTGTTCAGTTTAGGAAACTGCAGAAAAACCCACAACAACCAGGAACCGTCGTTATTCAAAGCGGTGGCGCCCTCTAGTGGTGAAACATGTCACTGCGCACCATAACAACACGAGACTTCCTGTTTGTCTCCTCGCTTCCTTCTTAGTTCAGTCAGTCTTGCTTTTGTGCATTTTTCTCCAGCACCGTGCATGACCCAGTGACTCTGCAGAACCTGTTGCTGCTGAACTCTTCATGTTTTCTCTGTTGTGCAGGTTTGAGCTGCAGACCTGCAGCAGACGAGCTGAAATCAAGACTGTCACCTGGAATCTAGCGTCCTGCCACCTCAGCTGCAGGTGATACACTTTAAATGATGTGCCCAACTCAGTGTGCTGTCCTCTGGTTTCTCCCAGCATGCAATTCCTCCTCCATCAGTTTCACTTTCACTTCTGACTGACGGGCGCTGAAGCAGAAGACGACGAGGTAACTTTAACATTTTACAGAACAAATATTCCACACAGTTGATTCATATTAAGAATGTGAGATAACGGATGATTTAACTCCTCGGTTTTGGTGATGTAGGAATCCTGCTGATTGTGAATCATGAGAATGAATGAATGGATCTTTGTTTGAAATCGAAAGCGTTGCATTTCCTCGGTCATGTTCCTGCACTGTCATGTCCATAAAGCGTGTCTGCATGGCAGTAATTTGATTAACTGTCAAGTTAGCTGTAAAATATTTACAGTGGAACACTGCCAGAGGTTAGAATGGGGTTTGTGAGGAGGGGATCCTTATCCAGTGAGATCAGGTCACTGACTTTACTGCTGACAGTAGAAATAAAAACCATTTCCTCAGTAGGAATTATTCCACAGTAGAAATCTTAGCCTGTAGAAAAGGATTTAAGGTACTGAGGCTACATGAGTGACCACTCAGGAGTTCATATTATTGAGCTGACTATCAGTAAGGTCCTCTGCTGTGCGATGTGTGTGAACTGCACATTAATGTGGAGATCATATTGATCTTGCTGCAATGTGACGCTGCAGCTGTTGAAGAAAGTCAAAGACAAAAAGGTGACACTGGATTTGTTTATTCAGCGTGAGAGAGAATCTGGATGAGTTGGTGAAACAGACTGACACCCCTGAACCTCTGAACACAATTACTGCTAAACTTCAATGTGTTTTTTATATTTCAGGTGGGAGGATTTCCTGTTTTCACCGTCACCATGTTGGCTCCTCTCCTGCTGCTGCTCTTGGTCCCCGTCCCCTCACTTGGGGCTCAGCTCCCGAATCAGAACCAAGCCAAAGAGCCTCCCATAGCCACCAACGGGCAGCCCTTCCCCTGGGACCGCATGAGGCTTCCCAAAACCGTCTC